GGGTTGAATCGGAATCGAACCGTGATGTAATAAATATATTAAAATTATATTTAAATAAAAAAATAAGCAATAAAATTATAAATTAAAAAAATAAAAATATTAAATTATCTTAAATATTTCTCCTAATATTTTTTTTACTGAAAAATATAATAATATATTTTAAAATATATTATTAATTTTAAATTTGGAAGAGGAAATCAAATATTCAATAGAATAATGCTTGGGACCCCCTTTTGGGGGTCACCCCCTCACCCCCCTTTGCCACGTGGCAGGAGGTGATTGGTGGAGCAGGAAAAAAAAGAAAAAGAAAAAGAAAAGGTAACCAATGAGAGAGAGAGGGGGTCAAAGGGGGTGGGGGGAAAGGGGGGATGAATCATTACTCTATTCAATATTCCCTCCATATGATTTTAATTCAATTAATTTGATTGAAAGAAGATCAAAAATTTTGGATGGATATCAAAATTTCAATATTTCCTCCAATATATTTGATTGAATCTCACATGGATTTCTTGAGTTTTTTTGAAATAATTTTTTTTTCTTATAAATAGGTAGAGACTTTCACAATAATTTCAAATTCTTAATGAGATTCCTCACAAGAGTAGACCTTTGAAATAGATTTTCTAATTATAATTTTCTTATATTCTTATGTGTAAAATAAGAAAGAATGAAATAAAAGAAAGAAAGAATAAAAAAAAAAAGTTAGAAGAAATAAATAAAATAAAAAAACAAAATTTTCAATTTCATCGACCCGGTGAACCAACTTCAGGTCGGCCGATTCAAACGCTGATTTTCTCGGTTCTCCCTAAATAGGCCGGTTTTTAGCTTTGAACGGTTTAGAGGGTATATCCGGACCAAAATCCTGACCAGTCGACGGTTCCACAGGTTGAATCGACCGGTCCGGTCCAGTTTTCAAAACCATGGTTCGAATTTCCCAGTGATTTTGTTGTTTTAACTTTTCGGTACAAGAACTTCCTGTAAATAATTTATTTACTTTGTTTCGGTTTTTATTTTTTACACAAAAAATTATTCCAACAAGTTATTGGGTACAAATTCTGAATATAAGCATTGTTGTTAAGAAAATTGATTAAAATTGATTTGGGTGAGTAACAATTCACCGACCAAATGTTTAACTCTATAAACTTTGATAATCAGTCATTTATGAGAAATGAGTCCCTTTCATTAGTTTGAAGGTGGGTGATTATATATCTACAAAACTCTTGTGCTATGCTTGGAATAGCTTAGATTTATATAGTTTATTTCAATTTTATTTTTCTTCAATTTCTTTCCTACTAATATTTGTCTCCAAATCCATTATACAAACTTCATGCTAGTTCAGACCATATTTCTCATTGAAATTCGTAAAGGACGAGAAAAGCAGAACCAAAATATGCTATCAAAATGGAATCATTTCTTGAATTGTCAAATAGCTTCTTGATTAAAAATATGATCATGTAATCAATATATATATCGTGACATACATACACATGTGATGATGATGTTGAAATCCAAAACATATTTTCAGTTTCTTTCAAAATTGAACACCAAATTCCCACAAGGACGGTTTTTTCAATGCCAATCCATACATGACACCTACGTAAGTGTTTATCCTCGTAAATTTGAAAATCTCCATTGTCCAAACGACATAAAAAAAAACCTTCACCTCCGTATCCGGGGGTGTTTGTTTTGAGGAATTATTCTATGAGATTGGATAATTAGTCCATTCAGACTAATAATCTATTGTTTGATTCAATTTTTTTTACTTCGGATTAATAGTCTCTCCGCATTATTAGTCCCTCATATAAGGGATTATTGTGTCCCAGGGGGAGATGTGAGATTATTTCCATAGGATTGGTATCACATAGGACTAATGTGTGAAATGTTCATTTTACCCTCATGCTATTACTTAATAAACAATTAGAAAATGATAAAATATTCTTTTGAACATTTATAAATGATTTTTTTAGTGTTGTTAATTTAAAATTATATATTAAATAAAAAATATAAATTATAAATTAAATTTAATTAAAAATAATAAATTATAAATTATGGCCTTATAAATTAAAAAAATTTAGTGTTGTTAAATTATAAATTATAGATTACAAATTTAAAATTATATATTAAATAAAAATTATAAATTACAAGGGTAAAACAGTCTTTTGACCATTTATCAGTTCGTCCAACCAAACATTAGATTCATTAAAAATAATCCAATCTAGACCTTTAATCCCATAACTAAACAAACATAGGATACAAATCCAGTCCAATCAAATAGTTCAGGAATAATGTATTCCAAAACTAATAATCCAATAAATTACAATCTCCCCTTATCTAATCCGCCCAAACAAACACAACCTTATTGAACTCCATCTTTCGCCGTGTCCTAAGGTCCGCTACACTACCAATGTAGCAAATTTCAGGGTCGGTCGGCTGTAATCGATGGGTGTGGAATTGATTTTTTTTAGTAGCTTTTTACGTTAAAATTTTTTTTAGCTTTACATTTTAAGTTCTGCTCTATTGGACGGATTAAAATAAAACAATTAAAAAAAAAATCGGTTAAAAATAATTTGCTTTTTGGGGGTTATCTTTAGTTGTTTTTTTTTTAAAAAAACTTTTTAGATCCTTTTATGCTAGATTTGTCAAAAAAATTAAAATATATATATATTTTGACACAAATTCATATAACCGTTGCTGAATTAGTGACAATTGTATTTTTTTCACAAATGAATATTAGTATAAAATTCGTGATTGTTAATATAAAAAATGTATTTTAGATCTTTATGCGTAAATTATTTATGAAAAAATTAAAATTATGACTAATAAATTTTTTGATAATAGATCATTGATTTTTTTTTTAAAAAAAAACAAATACAATTATTGAAATAATTTGATTTTTTTTATGAATAATTTATACATAAAGATTGAAAAAAAATCAACCAAACATATCATTTACAAAAACTTAATAGCATGGTCTAGTTTTCTCTTCCAAATGGAGAGAAGTTGAAGCCAATAAATTAACGAGCATAATATCAACAATAAACCGACATATTACACCTCACAATTATATACATATATATATTCTCAAGAGGCAAGCACAAGCATCATCATGTTGGAGGACACAACCGCGTGTCCTAAACTCCTAACACTAATCTTTAACTTTTTCTAAAAAAATTTAAAATTTTAATATATTAAAAAATGTTAAAAAAATTGACAAGTTTAGTAATTCTATGCAATAATCAGTTGCCAGTGTCCCTTAAGCTCTTCATTTCATGCTCGTGCCTGTTCGGGAACCTCCTTGCTTATCACCCACCAACCCTTTAATATCAAGCAATGTTATAAGCAAAACAATATTCTTTCAATTTTTTTTTTGTATAGAATTATTGATGTGGATGATATGGTAATGACATTCCCGAAAAAATAAGTTAATTGAATAAATCTATTATTTTAAATTAATAAAATCAAAATTTACCGCATCATTCTGTATTAAATTTCTTAGTTTATAATACTATTCTTGATATAAATACAATAGTCTACATACGGTAGATAAAAATTTATCAGACCATAGTGTCAACTAGCTCATTAAAACCCGGGTTGATATCACCTTCTTGCCCTTCCTTGGATTATTATTTTTTTTCAAAATATATAATTAATTCAATTGGGTTGTTTTATAAATATATGCTACAATTGCATGAAGGATTCTTGTGGCAGCAACCAGTTTTAATTCACTTTTGAACTGTCACTGTGTAGATTAATTTGATTTGATCTTGTAAACAAATCAGAAACTATTGGTAGAGAGACTCTCTTTGGTCAATTCTATTTTTAGTTTGGCAGGTGTCAGGACCTACCCATATAGCTGCTCAAAGGATTCAGAACCAAATCCTACATAGTAATACTAAATTATATATATTTTTTAAAATATGAAAGATTCCACTGTCATATTTTGAAAAACAAAGGGCATAATTAACTTTATCCTCAAAGGGTATCCAAGGGTTGATTTTTCTCTTCTTCTTCAAGTTGTGCACCAAATCTCTGACTCAGCTCTTTGGGATGATTGTGTCTCTATCTTGGACTTGCATGTTTGTTTTGTCACTCCATCTGATTTCATTACATAAATATATTAAGGTGATGAACAACTCTTAAATAAATACAACTGCAATATGCAATTAAGCTCCATGCCTAGGCTAGCAGATGTGGAGATAAAGACTACATGTAACTAAAGAATTAGTCGGACCAAAATCTTAAACACCCTCGTGAGTTTAAAAATTTGCTAATGTGTGTTTTTAGAACACATTTTAAAAAATCTAAAATGATTATACATTCTACATGAAAATTAGTTCAATAAAAAGTGTACATTATTTTAAAACTTGAATAGAAAGTTCACACTAGTCTTACTGAACATTATCGTCAAAATTGCTTTTATTTATATTGTAGCCATCAAGTTTTAGAAGGGACTCAAGTTGTGGAAGGGACTGATAAGGCTTTCATATTAAATTTACCAAAAAAATGCTCTGTTTATGCAATACTTTTTAGTTAAGTTCAATTGATGAAATCCCATTCAAACATTTGACATGAAGACCATTATTTTTTCTTTCTGTCCTTTAAAATTCATATATTTATTTATTTGTATTTAGTTTCCCCAAGTCTTGCATGTACCCAGGACTCATATTTTAATAGGCCAGGTGTAGAAACCCTAGCTTTGAGTTGGGTTTGAACTCTATAAAAACCAGATTGTGTTCCATGTTCTTCTCTTCCCTTTCTTGAACAATAAATATACCAGAGGAAAAAAATGAACTCAAAAATGGTACCTACTAGGTTTGCAAGTTTACTACTCTGCCTTCTTTATGCTTTGCATGCCCTAAGGGACTCTTCTATTTATGCTCATGAAGGTACATAGTTCCCTACTCCATTAAGTTCCTTTTTTTTCCGTTTTCTTTTTTGCCCTTTTCCCCCTCTTTAGTGAAAAGAAAATAACTCTTTTTTTTTTTTTTTCATTCTTTCTGCAGGTAGTGAAATGCATGGAAATAGACTAATTTTGACAGGGGAAAATGTTTTCACTGTCCAAAAGGTATGCTGTTTATTTTGTTATTGTTATTTGTATGTTCATATATTTTTTATTTTGACAATCTAATGCAAAAATATGCATGTAACCAGGAACTACTTGGCGATGTTTCGAATGGTAATGCTAGGAAAATGAAGCTTGGAGGAAGAAAAATGATGGCGGGTGAAGTGCCAAGGAAAGAGATTGAGAAAGAAGTGAATGGAGAAGCATCAAAGATTTCAGGTGCAAGTGCAACCCATTATGCCAGAAAATGTTATGAGCTTGAAGGAAATCATGAATTGAATGTAAAATGTGTAGTACTTAGTTATAAAAGTAGTCTCCCCAAGAAGTTCAATGAGGGTAGTTTTGTAGCTTTCAGTGCTGATTACCATGTGCCAAGACACCACCCTCCTAAGAATAACTGATTGAGAAAGGGGCACATGTTCTTGAGATCCCCTTTTGTTTTGAAAATATATGAATACATATGTGAAATATCAAAACTTATGTATGCAAAAGATCTTGATGCATAGTATATATTTCTGTTACAACAATGCTAAGGTTTGGTTAGTTGCATTTAAATACTAAGTTTAATTTGTGAAACTTACCATGCTATAGTTGTTTTGGAACCAAGTTAAAAGATGTCAGTTGTGGGAAAGGTTGGGTAGTTTGTGATTTAGTTTCATATTTTGTTGTTTGGATGCAGGAACGGATACAATTGCTTCAATGAGAACTGGAAGATTACAAGATCACTTAAATGTTCAGGTCTCTCTCTCTCTCTCTCTCTCTCTCTCTCAGATTAAATGTCAAGAAGGGTTTTGATAATCCAAGGAAACACTTAAAAAAAAAAAAGGCAAAACCAAGATTTTTGTCGAGTATCTAGGGCCATAAATGATTTTTTTCACCAGTCGAACAATTGAATGCTGCATGGTGCAAAAAATACACAAAAAATTAAGGTTTTTGCTGATCAAAAAGCTTGAATGATACATGGTCAGGAAATCACAACCGATAGCAATAACTGTATTGTTGTTGTGAAAGAGAAAACTATCAGTGTTGTTTATGGCTCACCCCACTTGTATTTGACTGTATTAATAAGATTGTGTATATTTTTTAATCACAGAACAATAACCCAATGTTTGAGCCAAACACATTGAAACCAGCAAGCTTGGGAATCACAGAGAAGGAGCCAGTCCAGTTTGCAAGTACCAAGCCACACCAATTTCAAGATTCCAAGGCAGTTTCCACTAGTGGCACTTTGAACAGCTCTTCAAGGCCTAATAATAAACAAGTCTCTCAAGATCAAAAAGATGAATCACAAGGGTTTCTTGAGGCAGATGTTGAAGTTGTGAACATGACGAGTAAGGACTATGGTGGAATGGATAATCCGCGGCGCAAGCCACCAATCAACAATGACAAGCCTAATGATTAGATTAAGATCAATATGGTTCATAGCCAGTTAGGTTTTGGCTCACAATTTTGCCCCCCCTTGTAAAAGTGAAGTCTCCTAACAGTATTTATAGTTTAAACAAATTAACAACTATATATTGTTTTGTTTTTTGATGGGTCATAAAGACAGGCACAATGATAGAAAGAAACAAGTTTAGTGTTGTATATTAAGTGTATGCCTTCATGGCTTCATAAGTCTTTTACTTGAAGTTAAGCTAGTTTTGTGCAGTCATATGTATATGCCTTTACTTCAAGTTAAGTTGTGATGTGAGCATCTTTTTTGTTTGGATTGAAAATGATTTCCTTCAGTGTAAGAAAATGAATTACATGGCAAAGTTTGTGGAATCCTAAAATTAATTAATTCATGTCAAACTTGGTTGATAGAACATCATATGCTACTTCATAGCTTCTTGTATAGCAACGGCGTCTTTGGAGTGGGGGTGAAGCTATGTCAACCCACCCGCCCCGAACCGTCAGTAAATCGGGAAACTCGACCCATTTGGGCCGGGCTAAAATTTCAATCTTAATAAGGTTGTCCAACAAATTGTTGAACAATTTGGAAAATCAAAGCACCCACTTCTACTGGCCAAAAGAATTGGCCTATGCTATTAAATTGAGTTGGCCCATATATTTGAACCCAAACCAGAAACCCAATCCAACTTTGAGGCAGCCCATTAACCCATGCCCATCCCTTTCCCTTTCCCTATTATTATCATTTTTTCTCTAGAGATATATAAAAATTTTACTTTTGGAATGTTTGGGAAGAAGGTTTTTTAGCTTTTTTTTCTAGAGATATATAAAAATTTTACTTTTGGAATGTTTGGGAAGAAGGTTTTTTAGCTTTTTTTTGGCTAAAATAATACAAAAAGATAAAATAGACTAAACAGTAATGATTTAGAGCTCTAAATCCACCACTAGTGAGGTGGAAATTGAAAAAAAAAAAAACAAGGCACAACATATACTCACATCAAACTTATAATCATTTAACTTTTTCTCTCATAAATATCACATCTAACTACAAAAAAATCCAATCATCTTATCAAACACAAAAATTTTAACCTACTAAAATAGCTAAAAATTAAAATAACCTATTAAAATAGTAATTTTCCAAACACCCACAATATTTGAACTTCTTATTAGCCTTTTGCAGCCCTTGGTAGAGGAATGCAACCCAAGCAGCTGGGTTGTCACTAAATAAGCATCAAATCTAGGATTTCTCAAGTTTTTTTTATCAAATTGAAAATAGATGTGTCTTTTATCAAATCACTGTTTATAACCGTTTGAGCTACAGGTCATTTTTACCATGGGAAGACCAGCCGGATGTTCGGTCGGTTGTCCCCTGAATGACCACCGGTTTGTAAAAATTTGTGAAAAAATTACACTGGCCGAACATCTGCCTGGTCGACCTGTGTTTTGATGACAGTTTAAAATCTTCTGTTGGAGCGTGTGATATTAGATGAAGTTTTTACTCAAATTTAGGTCTCGTTTGGCAAGTGTTTGTTTTAGTCAAAAAGTTACTAAAAAATCAAAAAACTTATAACTTATACAAAAAAGTCAAAGATCTACTTTTTGTACATCTTTTCGTAAAAAAACTAAAAAATTATTCTAAATATATTAATTTTTTTACCTTATATTTTAATAAAAAAATAATAAAAATTATTAAAATAACATATTCCTAAATAACACATGGGGTGAATTCAACAGTTTGTAGTTTGTTGTAGAATTTTTATTATCTAGTTTGATGTAATTTTTCTCATGTTTGTAATTAATCTGTTACTGATTGAACACCCCCTCTCCCCCTCCCAAAAAAAAAAAAAAAAAACATTGAAATATCAACCAAACAACAAAAACAAAACAAAAAGCCGATACGTCCAAATCTCCGCACATTTTGACCCAGTGCATGCCCGGCCGGTTTAGCCAATGGAGCGCTCTCTCTCTCTCTCTCTGCTTTCTCTCTTGGGCGGCCCTACCAAATCCTCATTCTTACATTCATTCCCATTCTTATACGTACCTCTCTCTCTCTCTCCAATCCCACCAAAAATCCACTGTGATTTTTCTCTTTCTATTAAAGGAAAAGCCTCCTTCAATTCCCTTCCTTCTTTCTCTCTATACTGTTTCTAACGTCAACTTTCCACTAGGGGCCTTTTTCTTTCCAGTCTTCTTTCTCTCTATACTGTTTCTTCCTTCAAAAACAACTCTGATATGCGCCAAATTTTAATTTACTCCTTCAAGTCTTGGTTGCAGAGCTCATGAGGTACGGCTTTTGATCCAAATTTATGGGTCTCTCTTGGTTTTTAGAATTTTCTTTTGATTACGTGTGTTCGTTTCTTGTTTTAGTTTTTATGTTTACTCTATTTGGTTTAATTGCTGATCATGAACGTCCCATACCTGCTTGTTGGTTTTGAAGAATTTTTTTGCTTGATCTGCTCTTTTGTTGGTTTTGGATTTTATGTGTCTTGTCATTATGGAGTTTTAAGGAGGCCCCTTTTAATCCTATTGAGAGATAGATGAGTATTAGTCTCGGTTCATGCCTGTTTGATCTGATTGGTTGCTATGTTGATCACTTCATTGGTTTTGATGTGGGCAACCTAATGATGAATTGCCTTGCTTTTTGATGGAATTGAAAATTTTCTAGTCTATCAAGGGTCTGTACCAAAATGAAATGAATCAAATCAAATCAAATTGAGAATAAGTAAAAAGTGATTAAAGATTTCTTTCTCCGTTTGAATGGGGTTTTGTTGTTGAGAATTTTGCGATAGGTGTAATTTCACAATTTTAACAGCAGAGAGAAAGACAGGTACGTATTAGACTAGAGAATACTTGAACATGAGTTTATGCATCACCCTCTTTCTTCATTTGAAATTGGAAACAAAACAAAAGTTCTTTTTAAGTAATTGATAAAGTCATTGACAAATGTATGAAATTGCTTTTCAATGGCTCTTCAAGTACAATTTGATAGACTTAACATCCTTTAGTTCTCCGTGTGTTGACAAAACTATGAAACAGAAAGGAAGCAAACATCCTCTGCTAAACAAGCCCTATGGTTCTGTATTAATGCTTTCACACAAGGAACTTTTGAATTCTATACAAACCCTAAATCAAGTTGCACTTGAATTTTCTTCTACTCTATGGGATTTGGGTGGTTTCCTTCAAAAAGGAATTTTCTGTCCCACTTCTGGTGGGTTATGCCAACTTTATATCATCAGTATCACAAACAGCAGTTGAAGCTGTTTGCAGAAAATTTTATGATAGTAAACCATGTCCATCCTCATCGTCATAATTACATCTTGAAGTCATCCAAGACACTGGCCCCGTTTGGTAGAGTTTAAATTCAGCTTATTTCAGCTTTTAGCATTAAGTAGTTTTTGTGTGTTTGGTGTAGTTTAAGTGATCAGCTTTAAGCTTAAATTAAGTCAAAAAGGTGATTATTCTTTGAGTAGGGGAAGAGGTGCTTTTCTGAATCAGCTTAAGCGGAAAGCTAGAATTGTGGGGCAAAACGACTTAAATGCCCCTCATCAATCTCAAATATTACCAAATGCCCAATATATAAACAACAACGAAAATACTATTCACTCCTCTCAGAGAGTGATAGGCAATTTCCAGCGTCTGGAGGTGATTTCCGACGTTGTGCTCTCTCTCTCTCTCTCTCTCTCTCTCTCTCTCTCTCTCTCTCTCTCTCTCTCTCTCTCTCTCCAATGTGTGTGTTTGTTCTCTAGAGCCATCGCGATTTGAACCAGAGTTGTCGTCGTCGCGATCTCAAGACAAAACCCTATGCATCGCGATCTGAACTAGTCGCCGTCGTCGGGATTTACTGTCGTCGTCTCTCTTTCTCTCTCTCTGTGTTTCTCACGAACTAGTTCCCATCTCCGGTGTTGTTTAGGCAGGTGAACGGTGATGATCGACGGTGCTCCCTCTCTATTGTTCCAGATTGCGGCGGTGGCTAGGGTTGCAGACCACCGACGGCGTACGGATGAAAGAGTGAGAGAAGAGAAGAGAAGAAGGAAAAAAAAATATTAATTGGTATATTTTGTAATGAATTAATAAATTAAAAAAACAAGAAAATTTATTTTATTAATTGTAATGAAAAAAATTTATTGATGTAAATGAAACAAAATACATGAATATTAATTGATATAAATTTATTTCAATTAAATAACTTCTTTGGTATTGTAATAAAAAAAAAAAAATTGTTCTAATTGATATTAGTGAAAACAAAATGAAATTACTTCTATTAAATGAAATAGAAAAAATAGAAATAACAATTGTTGTAATGAAATGTATCAATTTTTATATTAATTGATACTAATTATATTAACTTTTATTAATGAAATAATTTATTTTTTAAAAAATTAAAACTGAAGAAAATGAAAATTTAACAATTTTTATATCTTATAAGGGCAAAAAAGACATTACACAGCAAAAAACTATTTTATAGCTTATTCAACCAAATACTATTCTGCTGATTAAATCTATAATCTCATAGCTACACCAAATAGGTTAACAGGTTTTATTCAAAGCTATAATGTATAATCTGTTAAGCCATAATCTATAATTACTTTCCCACAACTCTACCAAACGAAACTAGTGTGTTATTATCATTTCTGTGCTGAATAAGTTGTTCTTCATTATCAGATAATGTCTACCCTCGATAACTATGAGTACTACTGCTAGTATTTCTTTTATTTGTCAAATATTGTCATATGTGTGTAGGAAAATATAGTATTTTTTATTCATATACCAGGAAAAGCACTGCTTACTTAGAGTTTTCTTATTCATCATTCCTTTGTAAAGATTATTGTTATTACTATTACTACTATTATATTTTAACTTCTATGCTCATTTTGTGAATTCAATGACCCTGCAGCATTTGCCTCCAAGATGTTCTTTTTGCCTAATTCTCAAAAGAGGCCTGAGAATGGCTCATAGAGGTAATTTGGTTATTGTTGGCATCTCTGTTGGTCTGGCTCTTGGCATTTTTATAGCATCTCTCGTGTTTTTCGGCCTACGATGGTACAAAAAACGTGCTCATCTTCGGCGATGTGCAAATGAACGCTGCACAACAACTCCTATGAGTCCAGATGGCACACGAATGGCGAAGTTACAAGCATTGACTCGAGTGTGTCTCCATCAAATTCTGTTAAGGGATCAAATTACCTTTCCAAAAGTTCTCAGCACTCTTGGTGGAGCCCCCAAAGTAAAGATCGGTTTGCTTCAGCGTCTGGCATACCAAGATACTCTTACAAGTATGTCATCTCCGACACCTCCAATCTTTTTGGAGGGTATAGCAGACTTACATAATTTAAGAGGAAAAAAAAACTTTGA